GTAAAAATAATTATATTCTTTTCTATTGTTTGCTTAGTTGGATTCCAGCAAACTTACAGGTGAAGCTGTTTCCATGACTGCACAAGCTGTGACTGATGGCCATATTGATTTTGACCCCATACCTGGAGAACTTCTCAGAGTTCCTGATGACAAGGCACAGGTACAGAATCCAATTTTTATAAGTTTTAAATCATCAATATAAGCAATAAGAGTATCCAGATACCAGTTGTACTATACTACATTTTAAGTTATATAAATGTTATTACTTTACTCTTAATATCTTTAGTTCGGTATAAACAATAATAATCAGCTATTACTCTTTCGTCTGTTACAGGTGATGATGTTGATTAATGACGTGCCAACCAAGTGCTCTGGTACCTGTGACTTTGAGTGGCTGACGAGTAGTACACCTACTGTAACGGGAATATCACCTGGCACAGGTGAGTCCTCCTTTCCATCACCAGCGTTTATACAGGCCACATTAAACAATTTGAATTTGTATCAGATACGTTCAACAACATTCAATAATGATGCCAGTGTTAAAATTGTATACATAACAAAGTTTATTTATCATTTGGAATACGGCCATAAGTATTTGGTTTGTGATAGTTTAAGAATGTTTATGAAGTAAACATTATTATGATCATTTTCTCTCAAGGACTATCTGGAACAGCCGCTACTATTACCGGGACAGGGTTTAGTGGAACTCCCGCCGATAACACTGTCACGATTGGAGGAACAGCTTGCACTGTGACTAGCTCAATCTCAACTTCAATCACATGTACAATTGGCAGCGGACCGGAGGGAATTTGCAAGGTGGATGTCAACGTGGCAGGTTCTGGGTTGGCACAGCACAGCAGCGGTGATGTCAGTTACATTTACGCTACAGGAATCAACAGTTTCTCACCCGCCTCAAGTAGTTTAGGAGGTACGTATAGCCAACAATAACTTCTCACCAGTCGCAAGTATTTCAGAGGTACATATAGGCATCAGAAGATTCGCACACAGTTCGAGTAGTTTAGGAGGTAAGTAAATGCATCAACAGATCCTCACCAGCCTGCAGTATTTTAGGAGATATGTATAGGCATCAACAGTTTCTTACCGCCTTAAGTAGCTTATAGGGTATGAAGAGGTAGCAAAAGTTTCTCAGTAAGTTATGGGGTACTTATATGCACCAACGAATTCATATCGCCTCATATAGTAAAAGAGGTATACACATGAACAGTCATCAACAAATACTCGCTCATCAGGTAATTTTGTGTGTCTATTTCAGTTCTCTGTTTTTACGGAGGCAAACACAATATTTATTCACGCTATTATCTTATGTAATTTATATACATATACATAATAATATAGATATGCTATAAATACTTATCTTAAGTAGTCAATCAAAGATGCATACAGTCTATCTTACTGATGAATGTTATGTGCAAACAACAAGCATTTGCCAAAACAATACACTGCAAACTCTTTCATCAAATATATATTTTGCAGTTCAATCCAGTGTTATATTTATTAACGTATTTTAGATATGCGCGTATTTCGATTTATTTTTATAATAAAAACAAAATCAGCCTAACACAAATTTTGACTTGAACTAGGTGGCGTAAACCTGACTTTGGACGGATATGGCTTTAGGAACGACGCAACAGTGGCTATAGATGGTCAAGACTGTCCAGTCATCTCCAGGACGACTGGTCAGCTAGTCTGTCTAATACCGCCAAAGGTAAGTAATGGTAGCAATGCCTATTGGCCGTTCTAACTTGATACAACACTAGAGAACAGTTGCAATAAATATCTGGTCATTTCATAATATTCAACCTTAAAATATCTGCAAAATCCTACGAATTCGATGAAGGTGAACTTGGATTTCGATATTAATATCAATATTGATGCATGATCAGTTCAGATTCACAATACACACAATAATCACTCTCTTCGTTTGACATCCAAGATTAAGGAAGATAGATATACAATATATGAAAGATTTCCTTTTTATAGAAAATCAGAAGTATTTTACATGTTATAGATATGTTTCAGAACTAATTCCACATCCGCTCTCAGCATGGCCAATTATAATTGTTTACCTTTTTTTGAGGAGATTTTGAAATATTTGTTTTTAGACGTCTGCAGGCGCCGTATCAGTTGTTGTGGCCATGACCGGTGTAGCCTCCTCTACAGCCTCAAGTTCATTTACATACGACTCTGGTATCACGGCGCAGGTCACTTCCATCACTCCAGCCTCATCAGGGGTCAAAGGTCAGCTCACTAATGTCATATGGTTTTGTGAACATCAGATACAATGACTCTATCGTTCGATAATGATTAATTGATTTCATTTTGTTTCCAATCAAAATTTGTTTTTTTACTTTTTGAAGTGAAATTGAAAAGATGTATATTCGATGTATTATTGGATTGTTGGAATTTCGGTCCAAGATGATACATATTTTTATATCAGTTTCGAATTCATTAGTTTTCAATATTCACTGTTAAACTGCAAATTGTAATACAGAAAAAGTGTATCATTCCTTTGTTTGGTTTTAGCCTTTACTGGTATACAACTATGTGTATAAAAGCAAAGTAGACAATTTAAAACATTTTTTATACAAGAGAGACGTGTAATTATTAATATGAAGCTATTTTTGTATTTAAGAAATATTTTACGTTTTTTTTTATCTATGTTGGTTTTATTTGACACCAGGTGGAGCTACTTTGACAATGGTTGGATCAGGATTTGGAAGCTCTGGTACCGTGATTATCGGTGGTACGACTGTCTCCCCTTTGAGTTATTCAAACACACAAGTGACTGCGACTCTCCCCTCACTCACACCAGGGGTACATCCTGTCCAGGTGGTAGTTGGAACAGATGGTGCTGCTGTTCTCACTAGGTAAAGTAAAGACGTAATGCATATAAAAAGATGTGCTAAACGTTTGTGCCAACGCTTGTTTAATATCATTGCATCATGACTGCTACTGAAAAAGATGTTAAACGTATTTTTTTATGTTTGTACTGGACATAGACTAGCCATCAATCTTTTCTGTTTGACAGCACATCTACCGTACCTTCAGTCAATTACGTCATGAAAGTGACCAACGTGTACCCACTTCAGGGATCGCTCCATGGAGGGACCAAGGTAACTATCACTGGCGAGGGTTTGGATGCCGATGCGGAAATCAAGATTGGAGGTCATTCCTGTGATGTGGACACATCTACGGCTACCACAACTCAAATTGTGTGCAAAATTGGTGACACTGGAAGGATTCATCAAATTGACAACCAGGGGTCACACTTGCGTGAGGACAATTTTTCTGGATATAGGAATTACAAATCAATAAGAATATAAGATCCCTCAGATAGTTTGAGACGGTTTGTAGTTTAAAAAATACGGATTCAACCGTAGATCTATATAAAAGGGGAAAATCCGAGAGCGAAAAGGAGTGGCAGAATATACAGGAGTAAAATGTCAATTAAATTAAATTAGTTATAAACCATGTTTCGAAACATATTCTAAACATTTTTGTTTCGTAACTTAAACGAAAGAATTATTTGATTTGCAGATTTCGGCAAAGGTTATGCCTGGAACCCAAAGAATCCAGAGGTAAATCTTGGGGACACAGTACGTTGGAGTTGGGACTTCCCATCCTGGGTTGCAGGCATGAATCCCAGAGTACAACAGACTACAAATGCTAGCTCTACAGAAGCGGAACCTACGGGTTTCAGCAGTGGCCCTACCGGTACTAAAACAGGTACAGTTATTTAGTTAAAATACAATATTTGTTCACAGATCTTCCGTGCTAATTCTAACAATAACATTAGTCAGCCAATGAAACAGATGTATTGCTCTTTCGGTCTATTGCGTTAGTCGTTATAAAAATAATAGCCCACAAAAAGAACAGACGTATTGGTCCATATAATTGTTGCTTTATTCTACATTACAATCTCATTTATTCATGGAACACCATTTCTCGTTAAGGGAGCAACGATGTCACACAACAGTCATGTTAGCCTACACCTCGGCTATATTATTCCACAAAACACACAGCGACTTCAGTCCACAGAACTATCACTTAAGGCTGTACTTATTCTATTACAGAGCTTTGTTCTTACATAAATAAATGAGGTTGTATTTTCTGTACTCATTCGTGTATTATAATTTGCATAGTTTGTACAGGTGTTATTATCTCCATAATCTGTACAAAAGTTCACATACTCAGTAAATATGGTTTAATTTACAGAATCTTTACATTTGTTGAATTTACATAGTCTGTGAAGATGCTATTATTCACTTTTTTGTACCTACATGTATGTTATAAATTCACATATTTTGTTCAATGCTGTTATTCACAACTTTTTTGGATATGTTTTAATTCACATATCCTACAAAGATGTTAAATTCGCAATTTCAGTAGTGATGCTGTAACTCGCTTTCCATTAGTGATGTTATCAATAACCGTTTTGCAGAGCTGTTATGATTTGCATTTTCTGTACAGGTGCCTTTGAATTCAAGTTCAACACATTGGGCACCAACTACTATTGGAGTGACTATATTGATCTGTACACAACTACATGGTTCCGGGGGTCCGTGCAAGTGACAAATAAGGAATCTTATGTCGGTGACTTGAGTGTCAAGGTCGGCGGAATTGAGGCTGCTTACGACAAGAACTCAGGTAGGAGGTTAATCCGATTTTACATTCACACTAATGTTATGTATATATCATTTTAAACTCAGGTGATTTAGAGATCAGATATTTTAAATATCATATTTTATAAACTGCAATTAATACTTTGCTTCTTTTGGGGCAATTCATAAGTATCGGGTATTTGTCTAACAAAAAGACGTTTTCCTTTGTTATCAGGTGTGAGCAACCCCTCAGGGTCCGGGCAATGCGCTGACACACTTAGTACAATCTCTGGATGTTCAGATGCCGCACCTACAGGTGGTGACCCTGCCAAATTTAACTTCAAATTCTGGTCTTGTCTTACGCCAACGGTTACAGCCATGAACAGGAATAACGGGACGGCCAACGATGAGATAGTGTTATCTGGTACAGGACTGTCCTCCACCACGTGTCAAAATGAGGTCAAATTCGGTAGTGATTCCTGTACTGTGACTGCTGGATCATCGTCATCAGTGACGTGCAAGCTTGGCTCTGCCACCAGTCCCCCCGTCGGTGTACAACAGTCAATAGATGTCCGTGTGGGAAACCTCGGAAGTGCCCGTATTGCCATTCCTGGACAGATTACTAGGACATTTGCTGCTATTCCTGTCGTTTCCAGTTTTTCGCCAGTTTTAGGTTCTCTGGAAGGAAACACACAACTGAACATCGCTGGAGCAGGATTTCAGGGAAGTTCCCCGGACATTGATGTCACTGTAACTATTGGGGGTTACCCTTGTCTGATCAGTTCTCTTTCCTACACAGCCATTGTTTGTTCAACTCCAAAGTCTATCACTGACGGTGCAAAGGCAGTGGAGGTCAAGGTCAACATTGGTGGTCAGATGGTGCCTACGGAATGTGATGCCAACTCCTGTGACTTCACTTATGATCTTGCGTCGACTGCCAGCGTAGAATCAGTATCGCCTACATCAGTTGATGGGTCGTCAACTACTTTGACCATCATTGGAAAGAGGATGGGAAGCTCAACTAGTGACGTGAGTGTGACTGTTGGAGGTGAGGTCTGCACTGTGACTGCAGCTACATCTACCGCCGTCGAATGTTCAATTTCTGCTGTACCAGTTGGGGCTCAGCCATTAGTATTAGATGTTGCACAGAAAGGACGCGCCAAGCATGACTCATCTCCTGTGACTGTCACCGGTCAGTCTGTCATTACCTCTGTCAGTCCCACAGCAGGCAGTACCAACGGTGGCACCGATGTTACCATCATGGGTAACGGATTCGAGCAAGGGTCAGTAGTTAATATAGATGGCACAAAATGTCCTTTAACCTCAGTTTCGCTCTCACAAATCGTATGCACGACTGCCGCGCATGCCGCCGCTAACAGCCTTGATCTTGTCGTCACGTCTGGCGGCACAGCCTACACTGCTGAGAATTTTAGTTTTACTGTTGGGGCCACTCCAGTGATTTCATCCTTATCGCCGGCATCTGGATCTTCAGGAGACACTATCACACTCAGTGGTACGAATTTTGGGGCAAGCCTTGCTGACAACACTGTCACACTAGGTGGGCGGGAGTGTACATTGATATCGGCCTCTACGACGGAGATTGCGTGCACTGTTGGGAACTACAGGGCCGGTACCTATGAGATGCTAGTGGATGTTGCAGGGAGCGGACTTTCGAATAACGACACAATGTTTACCTTTGATATGACTGCTTCTGGTATCAGTCCAAACTCAGGTAACTTTTATATCATTGACCAATTGGTAAAAAAAATGTATAGTATAGTTGTGAAATCGCACAACGCACAAAATTTAGCATGCGCATATCGTTCATATATTCATGCACACACCATCCCTACTAAGCACAGACAAATGGGTCGATTCAACAATCGATCGACCCACCCTTTATGCAAAAAACCGCGCACATATGTGTGATATGGTAAGATCGGTTAATTGATGTTACGGAATTAAAAAATACGGAAATCTCGAGTGAAATTATGTACATCGTTTACGTATTTGATATTAGATTGGTATATTTTGCACTTTTGCTGATTCTTCAATACATGCTGCACATTATTATGATGACTGTTAAACCGCCGCTAATGCCTTCACTTTAATGTAAACTGCTAGAATACACATGTAAAGAATTTCATCAAGTTGATCGTCGATAAGAGTTCATCGATGATTTGACAGTTATAAAAAATCAACTGGACCTTAACTGTGATAATTGTGTCTGTTATGTTTTCCTGGAAGTTCCACACCTCCTTCACGGTTGACTAGTGATACACAAAAGGTACCCGCTACTTGATAAGTAATAGGTAACCGATAAAATGCATGACTGTTATTTGATCTGCATCTGCGTATATACTACATTCATGTTTTTAAACTTATACTAACACACTTGTCGATTAAGGTCGTTTAAAAAAAGGTTCAGTACACAATGTGTCCATTAATGTAGATAAGTAGATAACCATGTTAATCTTGCTGTAAGTTTTAAAACGAAACTTAGTTATTCACAAGCCATTCATCGATATATTTCAATCACGATGACTATCGAACAACTGTACGATAGCTATCGCACATTTGTGCGCACTTAATAATCACACAGTTTTTTTTATCGTGCGCACGTGATGCGCACATGTTGCACACACAGGAAATCGTGTAACGTTTTGCGATACCACACCTGTAAATTTAAAGTCGTTTGATAATAATTTATTCGCAATCTTGCAATAAATTGATAGAAAATATAACCTGATCCAACTAGTCTATCAACCTGACACGTTTTTGTCCACAGGAAGTACTAATGGTAACCAAATCGTGACCATATCCGGTTCAGGGTTTGACGACACAACTACAGTTACGATCTGTTCAGAGTCCTGTGTCCAGTCTACAGCACAGAATTCCACAGAAACCAAATTTATCTGTGTCACGCCTGCAGCCTCTGGTAAGTACGAACAAACAGATCACAAGGGTTTCATGTGCTACCTAAGGAAAATGTCTTTCACATTTTGTACACTTATGGTACTTTAGTTTCCTAATATCTATTTCAAATAATTCATGAAATGAACATATCTCCTTTTTTATAATGTTCCCTGTCTTTTGTTTGTTCACCATCGACTTTCCTTGAATTGCAGAAATACCCATGATGTATTGTGTTGTACAAATGTGTTTTGTTATAGCTTTGTAAGTGTCTTTAAATCAGTAAATTATCATGTATATGAATAAGCGTTTTGCAAAATGTCATTTAACTGTAAAGAATATCTTTATTATTAACTAGTTAAAGTAGAAATCCTTTGGTCGTCGTTCATATCATTTAAGAGTGCAAAAACTTGTTTTTGAAAATTATGATTTATGAGTGTAAACCGCTAAAGATAGTTGACTTTAACACAAATCAGAGGATAATGCGTGTACTTGCATACATCATTTATCTTGAACCAGTTAAAATATAAATTGTCCTTTGACCTCTAGGCACCACGACCCAAGTATGTAGCGTACTCGTCACCGTGAACTCAATCACACAGACGCTTAGCTACACGTATGACTCGACGAAAACTCCGGAAATCACAGGTGTGACCCCAACACGCGGTGGGACAGGAGGAGGTACTCGCATCACAGTGTCCGGCTCCGGATTCGGGTAAATACCACCGGCATTAGCCATAACAGACAGAAACTGTTCGTTGTTCTTATCCACAAGTTGAAAATGCTACTTTGCACCTTCTCAGTTTATTGAAATATTGTCAACAACCATTGCTACCGCTTGAAGACGTTCCCTTATTGTTAAATGATTCAACTTTAAAACGAAGCATATTTTGTAAAAAAAAACACCTAGTTGGAGCTTTAACTTCTTGTGTTAAGAATCATTAAAGTTTGTTGCTGTTTCCTGAGGAATGACCTAGGTAGGGGGTATGTATTTCTTGACAATTTGTTTACATACTTTCTATTTTTCTTAAATCAGGTCTACCAAGTCGGATTGTTCAGTAACAGTAGAAGGTAGTGCGTGTGTGGTGGACTCAGTCAGCAACAACCAAATCGTGTGTGACACTGGTTCTATCTCTGCTTCTGTTCGAGGAAAGGTCCGAGTGGAGATTGCCGGGAACGGTCAGGCCATACAGGTATGCTACTGACTGTCTTGTAAGACAAAGATTCAGGGTTGTGGCCTTAAATTCCATTTAATATTAAGTATGACTTTTGTATGGAAAAGAACTCCGAAAACTGTATTTTTCTAACATAAGCTACCAAGTACGGATAATTATGGTATTGGTCATTGTTGAATTATATTGATTTTTTTCCCACTGAACAGAATTACTAAGGTTTTCTCCGTGCCCTCTGATATATAAATTTCAATTATTTTGAACACATTGCATTACACATCAACTACTATGTAAAGCCGGAGTAAACAAAAAAGGATGCTGCTGACAATTTTCAACTGTGAAATTAATAAGTCTTGTGCTACAGGTCAGTTTGCATTTAAGTACAATCTTTTCATTTGTTTGGTCTGAGTGAGTTTATCGATAAGTGCTGCCTTATTATATATATTTAATATGACTACTTTATTTTGTACACAGACAGCAGCAAACTTTCACTACGTTGACGTTTGGTCGTCAGTTTATACATGGGGAGGTGTATCGCTGCCAACAGATGGCGACCTTGTCGTTATCCAAGCCGGTCAAACAATCTACCTAGACACAACCACTGCAGTTATGAAAATGCTCCTAATTCAAGGGGGAGAACTCATTTTTGACGACAATCAAGACGTTGAATTAAAATCTGAAATTATCCTTGTCACAAATGGTGGTCTGTTTCAGGTAAATTATCCATCGATTACTCCAAACATGTCTGTTGGATTTATAGAATTGAGTGTTAGTACCATAAGTTAAGTTTCAATGATATTCTTCTCTCGTTCAAAATATGTCCACTATCAAGTACTTAAAAATGGTAAAACGGACTTAAATATACATTTTGACAGGTACTTTGACTGAGGTAAATGTATGTTTTAAGGGAAGAATATTTTCTATAAAAAGTATCTAATATTAAAGTGTATGCAGTACATTATCAACAAAATTCTTGTATATAATAATGTTCTAGATGAATGTATCTAAAAACTAATTTTGAATGATTTTGTTTTTCAACAGAATTCACTGATTCTGTTTCCTTATTTGAAATACAATACAAAATATTTTACCACAATTTGAATATCAGAAAACGGAAAAAAGATTCTTGAAAAAACGGCACTTTTTGGAAGGTTCATCTTAATTGCAAATGTAAGCAGTCTTTCAGCAGCATCGCACAATTAGGTGTAATTTATGTGTGAATGATTGGCCTTTAGGTTGGAACAGAGCAAGCACCCTTCCAGAACAAAGCCACAATTACATTGTATGGACATCAGCGTAGTAAAGAGCTCCCCATATATGGTACCAAGACGTTGGCTGTCCGCGAAGGCACCCTTGACCTCCATGGTAAAATTGAGACTTTATCTTTGTTGCCATACATTTTACCTAGCTTCTCCATGTTTCATATAAAAAAAAAAAAACTATATTGGTCGAAGAGAATGTGTATACCACCATTATCACTCGAAGAGCAAGCTACATACATACGGTAAAAAATGAACAGCGACTGTGTATATGATGTGTGTTATTTTCATAGGTATACCTACACCTATTACCTGGACGAAGCTAGCAGAAACCGCTAATGCTGGTACAAATGTTATTAAACTCGAACAAGCCGTCAATTGGAATGTTGGAGACGAAATAATCATAGCGACCACTGGCAATTTCAAGTCTCAGTATCAGAACGAACAGAAAACCATCACAGCCATCGCTGGCGATCAGAAGACCTTGACCTTGGACTCAAATCTGGCGCATGAACATATCGCTGTTACAGAAAGTTTTGGAACTAGCGCAAATGCAGCCACCTTGGATTTTGCTGCAGAAGTTGGCCTTTTAACACACAACGTTAAAGTGCAGGGTAACAGTGATGCGCAGTGGATTGAGAAAATTGAAGCGTGTCCTGACGGCTTTAACACTGGTAAGTATAGTTGAGATCATATCATTGGGTCTAAGTTAATAAAGCTTATGTACATGCTGTTTTATAAGACACTACCGTTAGTGCAAATATTCTTCACGCATCTGTCAATCACCAACACATGTTAACTTCCTCTGTCATTTGTCCACAGGTGAATTTGCAACCCAGACATGCTTCCAGGGGCGTTTTGGCGAGGAAATGGGCAGTGATCAGTTTGGTGGGCAGATCATGATTCATGCACCAGAATTTGATACGCACAGGTCCACTGGCCGCATACAGTATGTGGAATTATTTCATATGGGTCAGGCATTTAGATTGGGGCGTTATCCACTTCACTTCCATCTTAATGGCGACATGTCACACTGTTACGCCCGTGGATTAGGCATTCATGAAACATTCAACCGTGCGGTAAACATACATGGCACACACAACCTGCTGGTCGAACACATTGTCATCTATAATATCATGGGTGGCGCTTTCTTCTTGGAGGACGGCATAGAAAGTGGCAACACAATCCAGTACAATCTTGCTATATTTGTTCGCGAAAGTTCCAGTCTACTTAATGATGATGTCACCCCAGCCTCGTTTTGGGTTACCAACCCTAACAACACAATCCAGCATAACCATGCTGCTGGCGGGAGTCACTTTGGATTCTGGTACCGCATGCACGACCACCCAGAAGGTCCGTCATTCACCAACACAGTCTGCCCAAAATTAGTCACCTTAGGAGTATTCCACAACAACTCGGCTCACTCTTTCGGCTGGTTTGGTCTCTGGATCTTCCCAACCTATACGCCTAGAGTAGGCGGTATTTGTGGTTCTTCGGCACCAACACCTGTCGTCTTCGATACGTTCCTTACTTGGAACAATGAGAAGGGTGTGGAAACAGTAAACACTGGTGCCCTACAATTTAGTAATATTCAGGCAGTATCGAATAAAAAGGCAGGGTTTGAGGGAAAGCTTATGTTAGAGGGGGAGGATTTATCGAATCCTTCAAACGAAGCCGCACTCAAGGATTCGCTTATTGTCGGACATGCCTCGTTTTCAGGTGGTTCTGAATGTACAAATGGAGCTGTTGTATTTCCTTACGGATTTGGCTTCCAGATAAACAATGTTGAATTTGTGAACTTTGACAGGTCTAGTTGTTCTGCCCTCATTTGGACAAGAATTGATGGAACGTGTGGAGACCAATGCGGTGGGTTTTCCTACAAAACATCAGGTTTAACATGGACAAGTTCTCCGAATCGCGGCCGTTATGCATGGTTATTTGAGGGAATCCTTGAAGATCAGGATGGCACGCTGTGTAACAGTGCGAACTGTAAGGTTATACCGACTACCGGAACTCTTCCACCTAGTTGTGTAAATTACCCCGAATTCAATTTTGGTATACCAGCAAGCGTGTGTCCGTCTACTGTGAAATTTCATAGATTTGGTTTTAATAAAATAAAGCCTGCCTCTCTAGATTTTAAGCAGTCGAATTGGACAAACCAATACGGATCTTCCCTTGCTGAGCACCGTGATAAACGTATCACGCACAAAATGGGCTGGGTACTGGCCTTGGTTAGTGGCGAAACATATAGTATTGGATTTGTTGACGCAGCCACCCAAACGAATCTCAGTTTCTCTGGAACATTCTATCATTTTGAGGTAAGTTGACTGTTTCCCCTAAAACTATGACATATCTTACGCAGATGTCCAGAAAATGGAAAACATTTATATACTTGTTTTCTTTGTCAATTATATTGATCTTTTTATGATTAGAAACTTAACACGAAACATTCACAATATCTTTTGTGCATGTTTTTAATATGTAGACGTCTGCAATTTTACCCCTTTGTTATGAAAAGCAATCTCAGAGGTTTATTCTACTTTTCAAGTACTCTTGTGCGGTTTAATTTGGTATAGTTACTGACTGGGATAGATAATCGGTTACATAGTGTTTAAGTTCGCTTGCCATAATGTTGGAGACAGTTTTAGCTTGTCCAGTGTACTAGCCCACAGATAATAATTTTCTGCATATTGTGCGTATACGCTATATAGATTGTGAAAAATAACTACATATAAATGTTGTTGAATGCCGTTAAATTGTTTTCAGGTGGTATTCAAGACACTGTGAAAATTGTTCTATCTTTTTTTAAATAGCAAAATGCCATCTCTAATACTGTGATATATTTAGTTTTGACGAGAAACTACGAAATAAGGGCCCCACAAATGATTTGTTTTCCTAGGATATTTTTAATATTTTCTCATAGAAAAGTATATCATGCGAAATACGGATTAAACTTTATTGAAATGTGAAGCTCTTTTGAAATTATAAACTACACGAAATGAAAACAATAATGTATGTAACATCAAAAGTATTTCCCATGTTTTCTAAATGATTATAAAACGTTTTGGATATTTACCCTACTTTGGTATTTATATCCTGTTCTTCTTTTTATTTTTTTACATCATAATTTAATATCAAAAATGGCAAAATCACCAGGAATAACTGCATGAAGAGAAACAAATATGTGTGACTTAGTTCTTTGTATGTTTATTGTATTATATAAAACCTTTTTGTTGCAGAACAACGATCACATATTTCTGCGTCAAAAGGTGAACAAGAAACCCGACAGACTGAAGAGTGATGCTCGTGGGTTCATCGAGTCTTCTGATGTTGCTCTAGACGCTAACATTCACATCAATGGAGATTGGACTTTCGATCATTATACCGACGAGATCACAATTCTTGGTATGTTTTATATTCAGTATGAAAATTAGTATTTCCATCGACATTTTTGTATGGCTTATCAATAGTTCATTTAAGATGCATGACAAATTCGAAAGCGACGTTTTTATGTCACCGTTTATTTACTGAATTTTAGATTTCTTATTGAAAGATTTTTTTTTATTTCAAAATCATGTTATCTTTAATAAATCCTTCGCCGAAAAAAAGAAGAACTGACAAATCGAAAATAGAAATAAGCAAACATATTTACCCATCAATTGCGCTATAGTTGTATTGAATGTACACATCATCGTAATCTAGATACCGCATCTACAAAATAAACATGTAACATTAACTTTATTGTATACGACAAAATAAAGAAAATATGCTGCAAAATATATTTTGATTATTTAAGGGATTAAATATTTTGAATTAACATTGATTAAAAATGTGGTAGAAGGAAGGGGAATTACAAAACACTACACATAAGACACTAACATTATTAAATATAAATCATCAATAAATTTTGGTTTTGTCTATCAGAAAATATCATAGCGCATCTATGTGAAAATGTAAGGTTTTCTATTTCATTAGTGAAACAAAATACAATAAAAAATAACGTATGTCTCTGGAACGTCAAAACGAAAATATTGCTTCGTCAAAATAATAAATTGATATATAAAAATCTATTTTTAGTTCATACCCGAATTTTTAAATGTATATTTACATAAAACTCGATAGAGAAAACTGATCACGTCACACTAAGAAAGCATCAATTCTTTGTTAACTTTTTATTTATTTGTTTACTTATTTGTTTACTAATTTGTTTATTTATTTATTTGTTGTTTCAGTTAAGGGTAGTGGAGGTGTCAGTGGTAGAAAGAAGCGAGGTTCACCCGCTTTGCCAGTTGGTGCCGCCAGTATATCATTTGATTTCCAGGCCTTCAAATGTTTCTATGCTAACTGTACTCCTCCCCCAGACCCCAACACAGTCCCTCCAGTGACTCAACGGCCATCGGAATTTGTTTATTGGTCCGAGTCGAACTCTTGGACTTGGCTCAACAATACCCTCCCGGAAGCCGGAACCGACCTGACCATACCTATAGGTAAAAAAATACGACAAATTCCAAAAAATATAAACATATCATATTCAGATTTCGTTTTAATAGCTATGATATTTTCCGAGAAATACTCTTGCTGTTACTTACTTAGGAAGGGTGCGTGGCCTGTACATGTTTGGTTACTGATTATGTTTATACTCTTAATGATGATTACCATTCCTCTTGAGAAGTAGATAATGGTAGAAACTGTATTGATAATGATAATGATGTATCATTCTTGATAATAGGCGTGCATCTGTTGAGCAAGATCGTAATTGAAATTTATTTTTAAGTGGATATTAATAAATATCAATAAGGGTGTCTCATTCTTGATGATAGCTATACATCTGTCGAGTAAGATCAACAATGTGAAATCTGTTTCCAAGGATATTAATTGGTAATTATAATAAGAAACTTTATTCATTTTTCAACATTCGTACCTTTTTTTTTTAAACAACAGATATTTGGATGGTAGCAGACATGGCCATTCCATGGTTCAATAAGGTCATCCTTTACGGCACATTAGAGTTTGATCATGGGACTTCCGCTCCGTATCGCGATATTGACCTTAACGCGACCCATATCATTATCCTTGGAGGGAGGCTTATCATAGGCTGGCCTGATGCCCCCTACCTTGGTAATTCACAGATAATCCTGAGAGGCAACTGGCAAACAGCGGAATACACAGATCTCACCAACGCGCCAACAGTGGGGGCAAAGGCAATTGGTAAGTTTAGATCAAGGTCATCTACATTCATTTATAACTGTATGATGTACGAAGCGAAACGAATATGGCCGGGTTACGTAAATAATGTAATAGGCCAAAATTACCTTGGTTCAAAAGCTATGATAGTCTTCTACTCTTTTAATTGTTTCCTTTCTGATGCTGAATTCATTAAACTCTTTATGTTATCCTTTTAAAGTTCAGGTTTTCCTATTTGCTGTTAAATCACAAAGATATGTATAATGAATATACAATGAACGGCAAAATTAAGTATACACTTGAAAAAAAAGGTTTCCACACACAAAACAAATATTATATTGGGGAACCGCATCATTGCCAGGTTAAAAAAAATCCAAAAATCGTAGTGAAATTTTCTAATGTTAAGTTCAGATATTGGCTTCCATATATGTTATACCCTGAGAGCGTAAACACGACACATTGAAGTTAGGCGCATGCAATTTGCGCCAAGTGCCTCGGTATGCTTCCCTTACAAAGGCCGTCAGGTCTAAATATGTCGGCAATATGGCTAGACTTCCAATAACGTTTGGAAATTGTGCGATAGGGATGCTAAAAGCAGGGTTAACAAAACGTCATGTGGCGCTTGTGATAAATTGTACAAGATTTACGATTAAGTTCCCTTTGAAGTGTTATCGACGGGTATCCCAACTTCCTAGAGCGGGACGTCGACGTGAAACGGCGCTATGTCAGTTTCATCATTAATGCATAAATAGCGTCGAATTTAAAACGACGTTTATCGTTTGTTGTCATTGAGAAAATGCTGTGTGCTAGAAGTTTACAAAAATGGCGGACACACAAGATATTGACGTCACAATGTTTAAGGACACATACGTCAGTCTGTAAGACCGTATACTTTATTTGGTACTTGATGGCATTCCCGATTCTTTGTGAAATGTATTTCCAAAATGTATATTTCACATATTCGAATTATAATTAACATTGTCTTGATGAAATGAAAGTATTTGATGCGTTTGATAAAGTGTATGCTTAATTTTGCTGGTCAATATATATACAGATTAGTTCATATAGCTACCCCGTGTTCGGATGGATCAATCATTGATTACCAATTGCTATTTTTAAAATGGCAAGAATAGCCCCGTTGCATAGTATGACAAGAACCATTTACAGTAAAACACTATTATTTGATGCTGAACGGCTTCAGCCATTTCGGAAATTGTTTGAAATAACGTAACAAATCTTTAATCACCTTTCAAAACAATAATTTTGTCTACAATTTTAAACTATCTGAAAGCTTTTGTATTTTTAAAATATGAGTCACCATAGCCACTTTCAATACTTTAGTAGACGTTTGTTTTTTACCTGAAGTTTTTTTAATTTTGGATTTGTATGTCGACTGTTGATTAGCCGGTAAGCGTGAAATACTGATAACTAACATATGTTTATGTAAGCAACTCCATGTAACACAAGGTATCCATACATACTGCAGGCTATCTATAAAACAATGAGAAATTCTTTAAGAAGACATTTTACTTAAAGAATCGAATAGCTTTAAAGTTCAATTGCCTAGCACAACCAATATACATCAAACTGCTCTTGTTAAAAAACCACACTTCCACAAGAGTGTTGTGTATTATATATTCATAAATATTATGCTTAATGTAAATAATAACTGAAAACAATGTTATACTTATGTACTCTGGTAAGAAATCATCTTCATAACATACTACTCTGTAACAAATGAGATTTTCTTGTCGATCCCAACCTAATATTCTTCATAAAAGCGCTATTTATTGAGCACTATTTTAACGGAATACCGTATTTATCGCTTTATGCATATAAACCATATGTAAGCGTCACTAGTTCTACTCTGAGAAAATGCCACTTGTTAAAAGCCTTCGCCTTGCTGCCCATATGTGAAACATAGAAATGTATGTGTACTTGTAAGTACCTTTGCAGCATAATTACATGTATGTCTTGTTATTTTGCAGGAGTGTTTGGTGGACTTGACCTCCATGGAATTGATGTCGGTGTGTCTTGGACACGACTAGCCGCGACAGCAGCAGCTGGGGCTTCCACAATCACCTTAGCTAAGGCTGTCAACTGGACGGCCGGAAACGAGATCGTCCTAGCAACGACAAGCTACGACATGTGGGAGACGGAGACATTTAGGATTGCCAGCGTGTCTCAAGATGGACTGACGCTTACTCTCAACAGCTCGCTATTGTACAAACACGTTGGTATGTATGTGTGTAGATATGGGTGCGTGTGCAAATGTACACGTGTCATCAATACATGAAATGTGACATCGAACAATCTTGTTTATAATTCGTGATACAGGAAAGATCACATACTGTTGACAACATCATGTTTTAACTCTTTGGCTCTCTTGAAATGTGGCACTAAAGGTTACTTAAGCTAATTACATTTGCTGTATGTGGTATCATAACATGTATATTGTGGGAATGAAACGTAATCAATTTGCTACAGTTAAAATTTGCTGATATGCTTAACTACACATGCATGCAGTCTTTTGAAAATAATGTATATACTATATATTTTTCAGTTTATTTCTTTTGTCAATAAATCACGTATAACACGTTGTGCTAAACTAATATCAATTCAATATCAGAAAATGATTTGAAGCTCTAAAAAAATGGTTTTTTAACAGACATACATTTATTTCATAATGCTGAACTGTTTGCAAATATTTATGTGGTTACATATCTGCAGCTCAATAACATATTTAAAGAGCATATATAACAAGCTAAACGTACGATTGTTAGATCCTCGCAACGACGTGTTGAAAGGAATTTTCTACTATAATATATGTTTTTTAATAACGATCTTTATTTGCTACAGTCCACTCTGAAACAATAGGCAGTACCAACATCAACCTAGGAGCAGAGGTGGGACTTCTAACGAGGAATGTCAAAATCGTTGGGGAGGATTATGACAAAATGTTTAAAGAGTCGTTTGGTGCCCGAACGTTGGTAGGAACAGCCCAGAAGGGAATCACAGAATACATCGGTAAGTAACACTTTATTGGGAGTGTTCAGCTTTTCGGTATTTCAGTGAAATAGCATTTTAGAGTCGAAATCAGGTCCGCGCATCACCATGGAGGCAAATATAACAACAAACCCTTCCTCCAGCAAACATACACATATGCACACGAACATGCATGGAGGCATATCCTTAAATGGTTTTAGCTGTTGATGAGACGTTGAACCATTATAAAACCAACCAACTAACAGAAAGTTTAAGGCATGACGTAAACTTGTATATTAATTAAAATCTAATTTTACAATCCATCTGAGGCATTAGTGAGTTATTATTATTATTGTTTTTGCTCCGTTTTTTCTTATTATTATTATTAAGTCACCACGAACGAAGTCGGGGAGACTTATTCTTATTGTTCCGTTTCTTACTTATTCTTCTACTTATTATTATTAGTCCGCTCCCGTGCTTAATCTCAGGACTACTTATTGCATACGTCAGTACGATATGTAGTTGTGCATCCTGCTATTTTACCCGGGTCAACCACCCAAGATGGTCGCCGCTGCCTCTGATTGGCCGAAATCATATCCAGCAATAACATTCGTTCTTTTTGATGGAACATAATGAAACTTGGTGAAAGGGTTGATAACGTCTCATCGAAAAACGGTTGCGTACTTTGCAGGGGAGGAGTGACTTCCGCTATTGCTCGCAATTGCAATTCTATTTTTTTTTATTATTATTTCTTCCACGTTCTCCCGCCGGCAAGGTTTCTGACATTTGTCTCGAAATCCATAGGGCGGAATTCAAAGAAACTTTATATGAGTGTTCGTGTATGACAGGCGGTGCGCAAGAGTATTTTAGATTTTTGATCGGTCATCCGACTGGTCATCCGCATGGCAGGCTCTGATTGGTCAAAATTAAGACATTCGCCGATTTTGTTTTGTGATTTGAACAAAATGGCCATTTCCTGAGCTCTGATTTAAATATTGTCGGATTTCGATCAAATTTGGGAGGTAGGTGAATCATGGGACAATGATCACTTTCGTAAGTTAGGTTTCACATTTCAACAAAATGGCCCCATTTCCGTCCTCTGATTGGTCGAAATTTAAAAAATAGTCCAATTTTGATTAAATGTAGTATGTAGGTGTATAATAGGACAATGATCACTTCCGTTGCTTAGATTTCACATTTCAACAAAATGGACGCCGTTTTTTCCCTCTGATTGGTCAAATATTGTCCGATTCGGATAAAATTTGGTGCAAAGGTTTAGTACGGCACTATGAATACAACTGCGGTGCTTGTTTTGTGATTAAACAAACAAACAATACCACAGTTGTATATATTTTGTGATTAAACTAAATGGCCGCCATTTCCTGACCTCTGATTGGTCGAAAATTTAAAAAAATGTCCAATTTTGATCAAGTTTGATCACTCGGTCCCAAATTTCCTGACCTCTGTCTGATTGGTCAGGATTTAAATATTGTCCAATTTTGATCAAATTTTGAACGTATGTGTATCACATTTCCGTTGCTTAGATATCACATTTCAACAAAATGGCCGCCGTTTTTCCCTCTGATTGGTCAAAACTAAAATACAGTCCGATTTGGATGAAATTTGGTGCATAGGTGAAGTATGGCTTTGAAAATACAACTGCGGTGTTTGTTTTGTGAATAAACAAAATGACTGCAAATTCCTGGCCGCTGATTGGTCGAAATTAAGATATTATTCGATTTTGATGACAATTGGTATAAGTGGGTATTAGGGGACTGCGAATTCAATCGCATAGGTATTGTTGCCATAGGAACCTCACAGACACTTCTGATTGGTCGCAACTCAGAAATTGTGCGATATCACTCAAATTTAGTATGTATAATTTAAGTGTATTATGGCATCGCGAACCATTTCTTATGCATCATTGCGACTATTGGGGCAAAATGAAATGTCAGCATTTTTTACTTTTTCATTTGAAGGTTATGCTCGCTTGAGCAATGTAGAGTTTTTCCACACGGGGCAAGAAGGTTACACGGAGTTCTACGATGCCAGATTTTCACTTACGTTCCTGGATGGCGGTACTGTTACTAGCATCAAACCTTCATATGTGAACAAATGTGCATTCCACAACGGATTTTCGCCAGCCATCGGCGTTTTTGGAACTCACAGTTTGCCAATCGAGGATAATGTTGTGCATCACACAGTTTGGTGGGGTAAGTAGTGTCAATATTTTTGTTTGTCCGTCCTGGTTTCATGGTATCATCATGTCTGTTCACTTATCGGTCCATATTTAAAAAAATAAAATGTATTGAGGATAAAATACATGTTTAGCCAAATGTTAATCTTCCACGTGGTCCTCTTGCTAGTAAAATACATGTGTTAGATAAAATAACATATTTACGCAATCGATATATGAATAAACATGGTAATATTGCTAGTAAAATACATGTGCTAGTTAAATATTCAGGCAATAAGTTCTGTTCATATCTTTTTTTAATAAAACTTCATAGGAGTTAAGTATCACAGATAGACCTTGTGTCATGAACAGGGCTGAACTAACAGTAATTTTAGTGACTACATTGGCACGGCTAAGTGTTATTTTTAATAAAAGTAATTGAGATTGAAGTATTACCTTCAGTAGATGATATGACAGCATATTAAGTTTACATTCTACATTTTACGGTTTTTTAACATCGCAGTTGTTTTAAAATTGAAGTAATATGCAGATTTCTGTCGCGAAAATGATTTCGTTTAAACAGTTTCTTGAGCATTGCATATATTCTTGTAATTTGTTTAAAACAAATTTATTTACTCAGATCTAGGTCAATGTAGTTAAAAATGTAAGCAAGAGTTTTAGATTTAAATATCACGTAACAGCTACTGTAATCGATATCAGAAAAGCGAAACTTATTTTTAGCATTTTAGCCTTAATTACGATAACAAATACAGTTCATTGATCAGCGCCAGTAAACGTCTATATCGGGATAATTTTTCGATATCTCATGATTCGTTCTTTGATGTTTTAGGTATTGAGACATCCTCTGATGATACTCAGCTTCGCCGGAACCTGTTGACTCTTGTAGTATGGGAAGGTTCATACCAAGACCGCCAAGAGTCGTTTAATTTTCGCCACAATGGCGCAATTAGTGCGACGACAGCTAAGGCCATTGTCATTGAAGATAACGTAGTAGCGGGAGCAGAAAGGGCTGGATACAGGTTAAACGCGATGGAGTGTGGTAGTGCTGGCTACGGTAGTAATCTGGTGCACAGCTCTTTGATGGGGTTCGGCATATATCCTGGTGATGAATTAACAGTATCATGTGTTCAAATATCCAACATTACTGCTTGGAAATGTCGAGACAGCGGAGTTTACTATGAAAATGTTTTAAGTGTGGAAATTAAAAATGTTGTTTTAGTAGAGAACACAGTGGGGAGTGCACCATTAATGAATGGCCCTTCAGCCGTCGCCCATCAAACTGCCGACAAATATGTCTTAATAAAAGATTCCACGGTAGTTGGTGCGACAGCCTCCTTCGACTGTACCAGTGATAAATTGAAATCCGATGAAAATATCCAGTTTAGTTCCCAAGCACGCACATGGAACACGGATGGCAGTCACGTTGGCATTGGGTTTACACTGTTTATTGAATCAGGCAATGCCATGCCAAAGAAGCCTCATTTTGGAACTATGTCTTATCCAACAATTTTTGGAAGAATGAAATTTGATGGTGAGTGGCGTTTTACATTTTCATGAGTTCTGTGAATAAACACTATGAAACTTTATGCATTCTATATATTTTTATATTTGCTATTACGGACATTATAAAAACCTGACCTCTAGCCTTCTATTGTCATAGGTATGATTACTTTTGTAATATTTTGTTTCGTTAGCATTCTGTATATTTCTATATTTGTTATTACGGACATTATAAAAACCTAACCTCTAGCCTGGTATTGTCAAAGCTTACTTTTGTAATATTTTGTTTCGTTAGGTGTGGCATTTGCCCATTTTAAAACAACTTGTGGAATCAATGACTACGCAGTAACTACCAATGCTAAAGGGGTTGATGGTCAACATCCTATAGAGTCCACGAACGCAGTTATCACAGATGTGGCTACAGACAACAAAATATTTTACCACAGACCAAATGTTGGGTGAGTGTCGGTGCAAAACAGTCAATATTTAATAATGTTAAGTTTTTTGGGAGTTGTAGACAGCACGTATTAAAGTTTAAGGTAGATACATTGTATGTTGTTCAGTAAAGCATGTCTGTGATGAAACCGTTAGTCATGGTAAATATATACGTCGCTGTTGTCATTGTAAATTAAACCTGCTGATAACATCCCCCAAAGCTCTATTGAGGATTTATCTGATTCCAAGGCAATCTGTGGTATACAGTAGATAAAATAAAGTATGCCACTAAGTCTGACACACGCTTTAAATAGATATTCATAAACATTTTTTTTTATATTTTGTTTTCTAAATTTCAAATATCATTTGGTGGAAATGAATACTGGAGGCACGGTTATCTAGTAGTAAGGCACCAGGCTCGTGACCGCAGGGGTGCGGGTTCGAGTCACGATATGGCTGGCACCTGTGTTGTATGTTTGAAGAAGATACTTTACTCCGCATGTTTCAGTATACTCGGCTGTAAATGAGTGCTTGGTTGGACAGTGCTGAAATTGTTGAATGCTAGCTGTGAATTCTAAATGGCAGCTCCGGCTGTGTGCTCCCAATGGAATTGAGAAAGATATTTGCTGGTTGCAACCGTCCTATAACCACGGATAATAATTTGTTAACCGCTTTAAGACGACAACAAGGTTGTGATAAAACGGTATTAAAGAACCTCGAATTATTATTATTACCAATTGGTATATCACATCGATACATGTAGACGTGTTCGTGTTAACCCTGTCACGGTTATACCGAACAATGTAAATGTGATGCTAAGAAATAAAGTAAGGTCTTATTATATAATAATCAAAAAAATATATCAATGTGGTTGAAAATATCCAATTTGAAAAATGTGTCTTAATGCAATTTATTTATCATTTTTTCTGTTTATATACGTTGAGCAGGACGATTAACAGTGCCGATTGTGTTGATATGGACTGCGATGGTCTGAAAAAGGACCTGTTCGTTGATGAAGATGGATCATTTCTCGGAAGCATTGGTGCTGTAATTTCTGAGTCTGAGTGGGAATGGGGTGGTGATCCAAGAAGGGGCCTCGGGGATTACAGAATCCCGAAGACGATGTTAACCACACTGGATGGCACTCGTATACCGGTCAATGATATAGCACCAAACAAAGGTAGATAACTCCGTCCACTAATCAAAAGTTATAAAACAACATGAAAAAAAGATAAATCCTAGCACCAAACAAGGTTAAACAACTCTCATCACAGAGTTTATAGAGATAAGTCCGAACGAGGGGAGGCAAATCCCACCAGTAAGCAAATAGGGATTGGACGTCTTTTTTTAATATTCATACCGGCATGAACGTTTTAAAAACGCCGCTCAATCAATAAATTTACATTTTTCTAAAGAACAATTACTTAATTTATATATTTGTACTTAAATAATAGATTAATTTACTGCGTTGGATATCATCGTCCTTTAAACGACATTGTTGGAACAGCCACATTTAAATAACATTGGCGCCAAAAATAAACAGAATTCATTTGAGTGTTTGACGCAGGATCATTCTCTGTGTTATCCGAAGCGAATGACGAGACTCTCATTGAACAATGTTAATTTATGACGTCATAAGTAAACAACGTGTAAAGTCATAGGAGTTGCAGTGCAAATGTAACTATATGTTTATAACTTCTATCGAAAAAGACCCGCTGAATATATAGGATACGAAGTGTCTATTTTATTCTATCGCAATCGAAGTCGATTTTATAAAACAAAATACAACTTCTTTATTTACAATAATTTCAAAACTCTTCATTTGCAGTAATGAGTCATTTTGGCAGAATCTCAAAAAAGTCATCATAGTAACCAAATTATAACCTGGTTAAATATTGTCCAAGCAATGGATTCAGTTATTTTGAGTGATAATGAATATGTAGATAATTTATGTACGATCGATAATGAAAAGGAAAGTTAAAGCTTTACCTCAAATTAATAAGTATAATATTGGAGCCGATGTACTTGCAGCATGAATTTTCTCCCAACAAATATTCATCATTATGGATATTTAAAACAAAAAAATGAAATTGGAAAGTCTATATATTAAATTTGTCGTTTAAACCATTGTTGCTATAGCATGTTAACATTCATTTCTGAAATTATGTTTTTCGTATTTTCTTCCATCTCTGTAAACACAAGCATTCGTATTTTTCTATCTTCTCTAATCTATGCTATGACGTGTTGAAAAGTGATATTTTTATAACAGGTACAAAGGGCCCTTCTTTTTCGTCTGGTCACACCAGAAATTGTTGTTCACGGCTAGAAGAAAATAATTCATCAGATATGATAATTGCTTTCTCAAAATGATCAGCAACTTGACAAAATTTGAGCAAATACTAATTGAAAATTTCAGAATTGTTATGGCGTGTCATGTTACGTTTAATTAGATACGGCACTAATAGAAACTCTTGCTGTCACCTGAAAACAATTCATGCTAATTTGACTCACAAAACATTTGGAGTTCTCACATTGTTACATGTAAATTACCTTATTTCCACACAATTTTGATAAAGGCAGAATATATAATTTTAGTTATTAAGACCGGGGAAACTGTTATGCATTATTATCAAATGTGACACAGTACATATTTGACATGAATGGCATGATACATTTTCTACGACCTCAAAAGTGCTGGAAACATAAAGAGTAATATGTTTTAAGGGCATGCGGTACTTTCCTCCCTTTGAGTTTTTATTTCTTTATATACCCACATTTCTAATGACTGCTATCCTTCTGTATCACAGGTATTATCCGCAATAACAACTGTCAGTATAGGTCAGCCTGGCATGCTTACGAGTGTCATGACCTGACGTACAAAATGCTGATTATCGAAAGTATGGATTCGGACACGGAGACCCGCCGAGTGTCACCTGTTGCTATTCTCGGAGATGGGTATCTTGATCTCATTAACGGTCCCGCGGATCACGGCTGGTGCAGCGGATACACTTGTCGTAAACGAGTTTCCACTTTCATGGCTATTGTCGCTACTGGTAATGCTTTTAACTTTCATTTTGAAACAATGAGAAAATATAAATTTGCAACTAACTTTTGAGAATGTTAAGGAGAATAAAAACGTATCACTTCATGGAAATAATATGTTCTCTCTACAAATTGAAAGACTGTAATATATTGCGTTTTGCCTGTGTTGTTTAAGAAGAAGGGCAAAATCTGTGATAGCATATATGTATATAATCTAACTTTTAATATTCCGTTAAAGAAAAGAAAAAATAAATATACAGAAATAGCATAGAGTCATTAATAAAGTTTTGTCTCTTGCTATAGTCCATGGAAGAAAAAGGTTGTCTTTTAATGTTGACAGAATATGTTAATAAGTTTAAATTCAACTTGAAACAGAGACAAAATAACCATAAAAAGACTGTTACATTTTGGTTTGTTATTTCAGGAAAAGAGTATCTTATTCACTTTACTGGTACCTCACCCCAACATCTCAGGTACTTCCTTCTTAACTCTGACGACACACAGTCCGTCAAGCTTGCAGTCTGGTACTCGCAGCCAAACAGGCGCGACGTCTTTGTTGATGGCAATCTCGTTTCACCTAAAAACGGAAGGACTGTAAACGGAGCGTACATACTCGACCCACCTTCTTATTCTGACGAATTCATGCCAAACGTGTCTGACACATCCGGTGAGAATTATTATGACCGCGACTCTGGACTCCTCCATTTCACCATTAGAGGGAAGAAAGCTGTGGAGGTGAAAACAGATCCCTCAATCATCGTATCCTTTCAATTTCCGGCCATGACCGTCGATCAATTCTATGGACCCCAACTCATACAGCATCTTGCAGCATTCTTCGATCTCCCACCAAACAAGGTTCGACTTGTAAAGGTAGTAAGGGAGACAACTCCTGCTGGTCGAAGGCGCAAGAGGTCACAGGGATATGACCAGGTGATCCTGGAGATTTCTGATACTCCTCGTTCTAGTAAGTTTAAGCATTATTTTGACGTAATTCGCCAAACAAACCAAGTAGTTAGTTAATTTACTTCATTCACTATGATCTGTATATTAATGTCTCTTTTAGTTTTCCCATTTTCGGATTTCTTTGTCTTTGGTATAAATATCTCTACATAGCTCATGCAGTATTTGTTTAGTTCACACGAATTTAAATATTGTTTTTTCAAGTGGACCCTTTAAAAAAGTCTAGATTTCGAATCATAGGACTAAGTGTGCATTTCAAAAGAATATATTTTACAAGAGATAAACCCTGGTGATATAGTGACATGGAATTATCATGATGATGATATGAGCTTTTTCTAATGAATTAAAAACTTATTCTGATAACTTTATTTATTACATACTTACAAAATGTACTAATAAATACGGTTTTTTTTTGTATATATTCGATACGACACAATTGCTCTTAACCATATCAGCCCTCGCCGTATCACACCCCAAAAGTCGTATCAGCCCCCGCCGTATCACACCCCAAAACCCGTATCGGCCCGCCAAACCCGTATCACACCCCTTTTGGATTTTTTTCGTTTTTCAATAGTTCAAAAGAAAAATAGAGCATAAGATAGTAGCTTTTATAAGTAAGTATGTAATAAACAGAATAAAGCATGGCTTTTTCCATATCACACCCAGTATCAACCCTCGACCAATATCAGCCCTCGGGCCTTCGGCCCTTGGGCTGATAATGCAGTCTCGGGTTGATACTGGGTGTGATATGGAAATAGGCATGTATTATTCTCTATTTATTTGACTCTTCGCGTAACACAAGGACAAGTACCACATATAATGGAGTATTTCAAAAGTTACTATTGTTATCCTATAGATGTCAACGACTCAAGTGACCTGACCCAAACACAACTGCAGAATATTTCTGCTACGCTAGTCAACGAGGTACAACTCGGAAACATAAGCCAAGTTGTCAACCTGACGGTTGTGGGTGTGGCTGTAGTTGAGCCACTGGCATCACCCAGCTCCCCCGAGTGGAATGCCATGACCACGGACTCTCCCTACACAGTTATTGTAGAAGCTTCGAGCATGCGATTCAACCCTGCACCAGAACCACAACACGAGGGGGTGGTCTTCAAGACACAGCCAAAGATACAGGTTTTGGATGCACAGGTTTGCTTCAGTTCTACCAACAACTTTCGGTATTTTAATTCACAGCTCTTTCTGCATTATAGATTGAAATATTGCTAACCTACATTGTTTTTAATCATTTAACACAGCCGCCATCGTCAAGTGACCTGGGCTGAATCGGACCCTCCCCAAACTAGTCTTATCTAAAACATTACCACAATATTAGTCACTTCCCTAATGAATCAATATATAACAAATGAGTTGATCGTAGGGTATGTCATAGGCCATTTGTTGTCAAACGTTACATTTAAATGATTCTGCTATTTAATAGATTTGTATATGTTCAATCACTTTTGTGTGATTTGCATTCATTTTATAAAATACATGGTGGTTGACTCTTTTTCAGTCCTAAATTTTGCAATACATGTTACCTTGATACCCACAATTAGTTCTTTTGCAAAGTAGCATTTTTCATAGCAGATGTAAATAGTACTTTTAAATGTGAAATGAACTAGTACTCCTTCAATTTAGTAATTTCGTGTAATTTAGGGAGTTCATACCCCCCCCCCCCCCCCCCCTTTCAGTTTCAAATTAATTTAAAGTAATTCGGATGTCCACATGTTTGCCCCTAGCTTCACTGATTAGTCCTAGAAGGACGAACAAGCTGAATATTGCAATGATATCGATCTTTGGCATTAAGAATGTATTTAAAACATGGCTGAAAATACACATGTAGGTGCATTACCTGTGTCTTTCAGTGTGTTTCTGTTTATAAATTTGTAGGGTCAACCAATAATACAGCTAGGGACGGCCTCCCAGCCTTGGCAAATAACTGCATCGCTGCGGCCTGGCGGGTCCAATGCACTGGCCAACCTCACCGGAAATCTCACCGTAGAGTTTGCCAATGGCTGGGCCAACTTCACCGACCTGCTCATCACTCAATTCGGTACGGACTTCTATATAGATTTTACAGTGACCGTGCCGACCGACTCTAACTTCACCATAGCCTCTGATCCACTGACAGTCACTGGGCGACCAATCATAGCTTCAATTGCATCCAAGACTTCTACTGTCATTGAAAACAACTACTTTGCCATAGGGGTTGAGCTTCGTGATGAGATTACGTCAGAACTCATACCAGATATTGCCTGGAGGGTAAGCTTTCTATGAATATTCAATCTACTTTAAACTTATGTTCAGTATTGTTTTTTGTTTTGTTTTCAAATATAACTTAGGCATATAATGTTAGCTCATATAATCTTCTCTCTGAGCTTCATACTAACTGAAGCGAAATAGCATTTATTCGATCAAACTTTCCTGGCTGACGCTTTTTGTTATACTACAATATAATTTAAATATATGCAGACAATGTAGGTCACGTAAAAAAAAATGGACCGACGTTCATGCATGAAATTGAGTGAACAATTTTTTAATATGAGAGTAGGAAAAAAATATCAATTAAGTGTTTGCGATGAAAATATACTTATCTTTAAAATATATCGTAAGTAAATCGTGACCCGTTAACTTTAACCTTCAGTACGATATCATTTTATGACAGGGTCACACTTGGACTATGACTGCAGAACTGAACAAGCCTGAACTTCACCTAGGTTCGTTGCTTGGATATAATGAGACCATATTCTCCACCTCCTCCAGTTCAGCCAATTTTTACTCGTTGAACTTCACATCTCTTGGAGTCTATGCCTTGAAGCTGCACATCTACACGACGCCGTCCGGATACGACTTCTACGAAGAGGTCCAGGTGTTGGTGCGATCACAGACCCAGACCAGCATTGTCGTTCAGCAGACCACACAGGTGGAGATGAAATTTGATTCAGATTTCAATACAGTGGTCGGTGCTGACGATAAACCGTTTGCTGCTATGATGGGAAACTACTTCGCCGCGAAATACCCCGATGTTCTCGTAAATTCTGTGGCCGTCACGGCAGGTAAGTTCGAGCAGTATTCATTGAATTTCCATCATGCTCAAACTTGGATTCTGTACCCAAGTCGAAGTTAATGTTATTGTTAAAAATAAATGGAAATCAACATTTTGTTAGCGCTTACGAAGAATTAAAGATGAAGTCAAAGACAAATGTCGTTTTCGTTACTTGACTTTTGCACCGTGTCGAACGGTTTAAGTGAGTTAGAAGAAAGGTAACTTGAGCACAGAATCCATGATTGAGCATGACAACGGTTTCATGAATATGGCATAGGACCTCTATTATCAATGAAACTAACCTCTGATATGTGATATTTTCATCATCATTGTGTCTATAAATTAAAAGTTAGTTTTACATATTTAGCCTGCGTGTTATCAAGTTATTCAAACATCTATATTACGTCATCAATCTGTTTGGTTACAGGAAGTATCGTGGTGACATATTCTATCAGTGGAGGGATATCCGGTGTAAACACGACTGTCTATGGCATGTGTGATACTATTCAAAACAGCACCGCCTTCTCCTTCAACTCACAGTCCCTCTCGCTGTCCGGCTACCTGACAGTTGGCGGAGTGTCATACTACGGCGTCTCATGTGGGCCTATAGTAAGTTTGATAACATCCAAATATCTCGGAATCAGATTTCAAATTGATCTGGCAAATTTGAGCAAGATGGTTTCATTGTACCATAAAAAAATGAAAGGGTTGCATTTTTTTCGTAGATCTTGTTCCACGTAAAGTGTTATCCCAATCACTGAATTTATTGGAGGAGTGTTGAACCAAAAAAAAAAAAACGTAATCTAAATTTCATTATATCTTTGTTTATTTTTCAATTTTTTTATTGATAAGGTCTTATTTTTTTTCTCATATTCCTTATAAATAATTAATATAACAATATATGTCACATTTAATATTGCATGTCAATTACGTATTTTTTAATTCAGAAACCAAAATGCCAGTTTTCTCTATTGATACAAAGAAATTAAACAAATTGTTGTTTTCCTTCCACAGACATCAACTACCTCTGACCTCAGCAGTACAAATCTGGCTCTGATTATCTCCCTTGCCGTTGTATCTACAATCCTTGTCTGTGTCGTCATGGGAATTATATTCTGGAAGTGCAAGGTGCAACCAAAGACCAAGACAAGGGGTAAGAATTCACATAATTGACTAGCGTCTTTCTTTGGTTGAAAAGTCAAGAAAGAAATGCCATAAAAGTAATGACAGGCTTTCTCATATATATTTTTTTCATGAGATTTTTCGATAAGAACTCACGGAAAGAACGAAGCGATATCAAACGTCAAAGCTCGTCTACATGTGTGCGGGATATATTGCGAAGCCTAGTGCATATTTAAATATACAGTGATCAATGTAGAATTCATTTTAATCAGTCTCCTTTCACCATATTTTTTAAATCTTTTATTCAGTTTTTCATGATAAATTTGAGTATTTCCAGAAAAATATGAGTCACAATTCTTTTGGTATGACTTTAAACATACTCGATGAATGGTTAAGTGTCTTCTCTTGTAGATTTGAATAACTATACCAACTACATCAGTCGATGAATAGTTAAGTGTCTTCTCTTGTAGATTTGAATAACTATACCAACTACATCAGTCGATGAATGGTTAAGTGTCTTCTCTTGTAAATATGAATAACTATACCAACTACATCAGTCGATGAATAGTTAAGTGTCTTCTCTTGTAGATTTGAATAACTATACAAACTACATCAGTCGATGAAAGGTTAAGTGTCTTCTCTTGTAGATTTGAATAAGTATACCAACTACATTAGTCGATGAATGGTTAAGTGTCTTCTCTTGTAGATTTGAATAACTATACCAACTACATCAGTCAATGAATGGTTAAGTGTCTTCTCTTGTAGATTTGAATAACTATACCAACTACATCGGCCATCAAAGCACCATTGAGGACATCCTGTTCCGTGAGCAGTCGTTTATGAGCATCAGGGACAAGTCTGCAGGTCTGCCTCAAGCTCCTGCTGCAACCAACATTAACAGTCTGGGTGTAAACAACTACCATAACCCGGAAAGAAAGAGTCCTCTACCCTTTTAAATTCTAAGGATGGAAAGCCAATTGTCTCCCCTTATCAATGGAGACTATTATAGAATAGCAATCTGTGATATTGTGTGTAATCATTAGAAATTGATTATATATATTTTTTAACTGTGATATTCTATTTCCAATTTATATCGTATCAGTAAGTACTTCATTTTGTGGGTTTTTTGGTAGGTTCAACGTTGACAAAAATGTCTGTAATTTTTTATTTTTTTTTAATTTGTGAACATAATCATATTAAATCAAAATTATTTAAAAATGAAAAGACATTTTTCACTTAAATATGAATAGAATGTACATTTCATATACAATGCCTAATTGAATAATTAAGGTTATTATTGGACACATATGAAGGGCACAAACAACAAAATGTTTAGTTTGCGTGCTTTAAGACATATGGTATCTAAAAATATCTATTTATTTTGAAACAAGAACTTCTGTGATATTTGCCTATTCTATCGAGGGAATATTAACAATATATATACATATCCTTTAAAGTAATATGTCACGTGTTTTTACGAGTAATAAAAACATGAAAGAAAAACTTAAACACTTGTATATCAAAATTATTTGCTTTTGTCCATCGGTATTTTCGAGTATTGACGGAGAGTATCAATCAAGAGAATTATTGAAAGAATTACTTTATATTTGCAAACACCAATATTTGTTCCTTTTGTTAAATATAATTCTTGTTTATATCTTAATTAAGAGAATATGTTGCGTTATGTTTAAGATAGTTTATTATCAAATGATAACCTGTATTCTAGATAATTTACAAACATTTTGTGATTTTTAAGCATAATCTATACCTCATATCTTATTATAGAAATATTTCTTATGTTTGATATACATGTCAAGTAACGGAGCATATGTCTGTAAAGCAAAGTTTTAAATTCAAGTGTTTACAAATATAGGATATGGTTTGTAGTTACATGTGTTGCACAGTATTGATATTGTTTTGTTGTATTTGATATAGTATTCTTCAATTCCTTTGAGGCAAACAATATGTAGTATTCAGTGATTTCTTTGCATTTCTAATTTGTAAGTATTTGTTTTCTTATTTTCCTCACTTAGTCCCTATTTACACTATGAGCTGGTTCTCATGTTTTGAAGCTAACCGTTAACAGTTTATATTTTGTTTTTTCTAGTTTGATATACGTGTACTTCAACTTCGATTATTTTTATCTAGGTTATTTGTATACGCTTGTATACTTTAGTTACACGATCCAATCAATTTCATATTAAAATAAAATCTTTTTCTATAATTGAAAAGAAGCATACCCTTTTTGTGATAAGCATTTAAAAAAAATATTGAAACAGATTCAAGTTCTTGTGATTTATTTAAAAAAAACACACATGTTTTAAGTGTAGTATAAGGTTTTTTGGAAAGATGTCAACAAGCCTTTAGGAATTACAATTTGATTATATGGCGTACCTATTGGTTTGAGAAGTATTTTTATTTTACGATTTTAGATCTACGCACTTAGTAATGTAATACTAATAAAACGACAAAATCTAATGACTTAAATATTTATTTCTGAATTTTACATTGATTTCTCAGAATTTAAAAAGATAGTTATGTAACCAGTTATTTAAGTTTCACCAACTCTTAATTTCCTTTTTTGACTATTTAGAATGATACAATGTTAGTTTCTTGTTGAAATTTTATTAAAATGAATTCCTCTTCAAGCATTCTATCAAAGTCTTTCTTGTTTTGTAAAATAATTTTCCTCTTGTCTAATTTTTCATTGACAACGTGGCGGGCCCATTTGATTTATTGACATTGGGATGTGGGCGTGTTTTCTTTTAATGAGAAAGTGGTGTCTCCTAATGAGAAAGAGGTGTGTCATGTTGCTTTATTGCCACAATGACGTGTCCTTTTGATTAAACGATAATGGAGTGTGTCCTTTTGATGTATTTACAAGGAGCATGATCTTTTTCTTTTGCAGAAATCACAAAGATGAGTATAGTTTGATAAATGACAAAGACTGTACTGACAATGGAATCACTGACTTGAGACGAGGCCGTGATGAAAAGGGAATGTTCTATTTTGAATATATCTGTAATCGAGTGCATCTCTTTATTGACTTCACAAGGGTAATGCTCTTATTGTAAAGCTTGACATTTTTTGTCAATTAAAAAAGGCGTTGCCTTGTGTAGGATCATAACAGGCAATAAGACTTTCGAAGCTGAAAATGTGATGTTTTGAATCAAGCGTAACATATCAATGACCCATTAAACTTTAGCAGAACTGCGCCGTTTGCATAGGAAGCTGCATTTCTTAAAGACGCAAACAGTTACTTAGTTATTCTTATCGAGAACTTCCGCTGTCGTTTTGAAAGCATAACAATAACTTAACACATAATACATACAATTACATTTTATTTAGTATACAACGATCTTGAAACAAGTGACATGAATTAACCCGGTCTATCTTAGTGAGGGTAAGTGACGATCTCTTTCTCTATCTAGTATACAGGAATTGTCAATCGTTTTGTTCGTTTTTGTAAGAAATCTAAGGTTGTTTTTTTTCGACACTGGCCTGTTAACAACGCTGTGATATTTTCACTAGGAGCTATTGAAACGGTCTGATTTATAGTTGAATATTTCTAAGAATATTCAAAGCAATTTATCGTCAAACACTCGACGTGTAATTTCCTCTGAAAAAATAGCTCTAAATATTTTAAGATATTATTTCAACACAAAATGATCGCTGATTAGCAAGGTCCATTATTTGGAAAAACAGGGATTTTTATTTTCGAGATACATTTGACTGAAATAAATAAAAGGCTTGATTTAAAGCGGGTCTATTTTGAAAACCTGTTTATCATAGGGATGTAAGAATATTTTTAGTTATATAACACTTATCTCTTTTACATACACATATATATATATCTTTAGTCCGGATTTTGTATCGGTCATTCCACTCCATTATAAGTTTCGTCACATCATTTCAGATATTAACAAATCAGAATGCAGTAAATTTGAATTGTTCTTGAAGCCATGAGGTCGCCAAGTTTGGGTAGATAAAATTAAACAGTGACATATGGACCATTGACGAAAACGATGATGGAATATATCGCGTTTCTATATGACCGCAGTGACAATTTACGGGGAGAAAAACCTTGAAAATATCACTTGGAAGACGGAGTCAGTTTTTCACAGATCTAGAGACTCTTCTTTATGTCTAATTTGAGGTAGATCCGAAAGAACGAGCTACTTATTTTTCAAATATACCTCAATGTCAAGGCATTTAGTCTCTATATATTTGCATTGACGTTTCTTATGTGGTTCCTTTAATGTCGTAAAATCAAACAGGTTACTGATATAAATGTAGAATTGGCCAATATTGTTCAGCAAAGTAAGCATTCGTTAGTCGCGTGGTGATCAAAAGGCTTGCGGCAAACGTTTTCACACCCGGCTATTAGTGTGAATTAAAAATAACAAATGTTTTATTTACATAACGACCCTTGTACTTTGTTTTTGTAATTAAGATACTGTGCGTCTCCTTTCGTAACTTTCATATAAACAGAGGAAAAAACAAATGACAAATAGAAACAAACTGCAGACCAATAAGGACACACATGGATTACCTGTTTACTGCAGATACAACACATGGCACAGGAATTGTTTAGCAAAACTGTAGCACTACACATAGTCTGTGTTCTGGATTATAAACTTATCAATGTATACATATTCATTAACGTCTTAACTCATACCATCACACACAAAAATACAAACGAGGAATATTACCACAACCTAGATAGTTCTAACCTAAACATTTTATGTATAAAGATGAATATATATATATATATATATTATAAAAAATGTTAACGTAATGTCTACTTTGAAACAGTACTGATTAAAACCGCACATTATCATTATTATTATCCCGCAATGTAAATACACCACCAAATCAAAATTAAAATAGTACACGTGTTCGCTTCCTCAATATCACATACATCTCAAACATTAAATATATATATATATATATATGTATATATATATATAGTGTGTAAAAGTAGAGGATTTCGCATGTGGAAATATAAAATAATAGAATTTAGTTCAAGTTAGAATACATGTATGCATCATTTATACTTGTTCAATGAATGGAACAGCCATCTCTTTTGAGTGATATCAAATATTACAATTTTGACGTCTTAATTATGATTAAGTCAACATGTGCTACACAAGAATTACAGCCTATATGGATATCACTTGCTAAAATCATATATTTCTTTCATCAACAAAATTATGCATAATAAACAAATCCAATTCATGTAAGTTGTCTCGCCTGTGAACTAACATCATTTTATTACGGTATGATTTTGTGGCATTTTCACAATATTTTATTATCGTGTAAGAATAAAAACTAGTTATGTCTATTGACATTAATACGACACTTTAATCTCGTAATAGTGTAAGTTTTCTCACCTCTGAACTCACGTCATTTCAATACCAATTGTATGAATGTTCTGGCATTTTCTCAATAAATTTTTCTCGAGTAAAAACTGTCAATTGCCATTTACACCTTAATCTCAGATATCAACTGGTTCACGACAGTTCCGATGATCTGGATGGTCAAACAGCCAATCAGTAACTGATTCATACAAACGCTTGTATTTGTAGGCGCTGTGCAACTTCTTACAAAGATCACAATAAAACAGATCGATTTCCTCCGCGTAGTAATGTTTCCGCCAGGAAAAATATTTCTCAAACTCTGTTCGGTTTTGTGAAATAGATTGCATTTTCTGTGCCAGGCCCTTTATAGTGTAGTCATGCGCATTAATATATGAACCGGGAGGAAGGTGCATCTTGTACAGGTCTCCCGTTCCCCGTACAACCGGTATTACGTCAATCCCGTCCTGTAAGAGCTTAGAAACTTTTTCCGTGAGGTAATCTGCACAGAGACTGTTCTCGAAAGCCAAATAAAATTTATAACGAGTCTGCAGTTGATTCAGACAATTGTTGTGGATTGAGCGGGGACAACTCATGTTGCCACATTTACCATAAACATGGACGCTAACATCCCGCTGAAGGTGCCGCACATATTCCAGTCGACGACTTTGCACGTTACAGTGAGAAACAAACCAAGCCGCCATCTTGTCTTTAGCATCCCAATCAAAAGTTGTGGTGGCTTTGTCCGACTTTGACATTATTGGTGCATACGACCCGTATGGTGTAAATACATCTGAATCCCGTCGATGCACGAGAGTCCAGTTAAAAACACGTGTCCAAGATTTTAATTGCTTTGCAAAAAGTATAGGTGGTTCCATTGCTTGCATAATCCAAAGTTATCCGGGATATTTCCTCGGTGGCGTCCCCCTCAAATCTGGTCCATGAAAAATAACGATTTTCTTAGATTTGTAACTGGACTTACCATGAGTCATATTACAGCGATCCGGGCACCTACTGAAGGTTTGGAGTGAAACGGACGGTGGTTTGTTATAATAATGCACTTCTATAGTTTCCTGTACCTGTTCCAACTTGGGAGAATCCGATTTGAAAACGGATGGGTCGGTGTCCGCATACAGATACAGTATCATTTTGTAGATAGCAACAAAAAGACTCATGAGTAGTAAAAGTTTCAGGGACTTCCGCTTGGAAAACCTGCCAAGGATACAAGACACAGTGTTAAATCCTGTTAAAAAGTACTTAAATAACTTAAAAACTAAACTTTGTTTCGGGCACGTATAAATTAGATGTGCCGTATTTTAGATAGTAACAACAAGGAATCTCCATCGGGAAAACCTGCCAGGCCTACACAGACCACTGTGTAAAACACTGCTTAATAGTACTGCATTAACTTATAAATATTATATTTATTGATTTAAACACGGATAGAATAAACGTCCCTGATTGTAGATGGCAACGGAAGGAACCATTACTTAGAAAACCTGCCAGGCATACAGAGCAAAATGTTAAACCCCGCTAAAATTGCTATGAGACCTTCAAAACAATATATTTTATTTTTTTGCACAGACGTGTCATATTGTATAAAGCAACAAAAATAATCTAAATCGAGAAAAAAAGGTCAATCATACAAGCAACAGTGTTAAACTCTGCTAAACAAATAAAATACTTGATTATTATTTGATTTGATTTGGGCACATATAAAAAAGACGTGTTGTATTGTAGATAGCAACAACAAAGAACCTCCTTCATGTAAAGCATACAGAACAGAGTGTTAACCACTGCTTAAAGTACTAAAATAAAGTATAACAATATTTGTTTGGGGCGCACGAAGAATAGACGTGCAAAATTGTGGTTAGCAGCAACCTCCAGCGGGAAAACCTGTCAAGTGTACAGAACACAGCATTAATCCCTGCTAAAAATTGCTTAATTAAGTTATACACGATATATACATGTATACATATATATACTAGAAAATGTTGGCTTACAATGTGACGGACTTTTCGCCGTTAGGACTGAAACAGGTTTGATAATCGTCTTTCACTTCTAACAATTACTAAATATATCTGAACATTTCGTACAGTGTAAGGGCACAGCTGCTGACTTTGAGTAAAAATATGTGCTGTGTTAATAGTCAATAAAAATTCAGTTATATTAAGTATCTAACATGAACTTTGGCAAGTCTACAGCAGCTGATTGAAAAGTGGGGGATTCCCAAGATGCGAAATGACGTCAGAGATAGAATGAATTAGTATAGGAAGCCAATTTGCGGTTTTGTGTACGACGGTAGTCCGTAGAAATGATACAATGTGTCAGCTATCTACAACAAGATGATGAATTCAAACTGATAGTTTGTCTATATCAGTTAGGTTTGCCATGATAAAGAACGGCTGGTGATCACCAGCGCAGTAGAAATGGTAGCTATCCGTACTTTTAACATTGAGAGTGCGTAGCAATGTATGAAGCATTACCAACAGGTACAAGGTTCATGACATGTTGACAGTACTTGACACGTACACCGTGGGAAATTCATGTCTGAACTCTCACAGACAACAAACACATATAATTGCACTGATTTCTCATTCTTACCCATGTATTGCTTTATATACAAATATTTCAATATTCACATGGACAAATATTAAAATTTAATTTCAGTCCGTGGTTAAATTGTGGAAATCCGTAGGTAAACATTGTCACCAATACTTTTCACCATTACGAAAATAATCTATAACGCTGATACTACCTATATGCGCATCACTAGCCCAAGTCTCGCGACTAATCTCCAATAACAATACTGTTATGTGTGATCATGTGAGATCTGCCTGAGTTGTCAATCTTTTACTTTATACGTCTCGGATGTACTTGTTTGTTTTATATCCGTTATAAACAAAGCATTGAGGTCTATTTTCAAATCCTTTGCATTAAGTTGTAATACGTTCTGTAAAAACTACGCTTTCAAAGAGTGACGTTTTCGTTATCAAGTTTATCCACAGTTTTTTTTGGATGTCTATATCAATTTAGTCACAGTGAATCTATAAACATGATTATAATCTAATACAATACGGTGTCTGTGGATACTACATATTATCACCTTGGGGATATCAGCTCTACGGTTCAAATTTTCCTTAAAAAATGCTAAAAATATTTAGTATTGTCAAGAGTACTTTATAAATATAGCCTGTACACAAGGCTATATGTTATATTACCTTGTGTGAAGGCTATATGTTATATTACCTTGTGTAAAGGCTATATGTTATATTACCTTGTGTAAAGGCTATGTGTTATATTACCTTGTGTAAAGGATATATGTTATATTACCTTGTGTAAAGGCGATATATCATATTACCTTTTGTAAAGGCTATATGTTATATTACCTTTTGTAAAGGCTATATGTTAAATATAGCCTGTACACAAGGCTATATGTTATATTACCTTGTGTGAAGGCTATATGTTATATTACCTTGTGTAAAGGCTATGTGTTATATTACCTTGTGTAAAGGATATATGTTATATAACCTTGTGTAAAGGTTATATGCTATATTACCTTGTGTAAAGGCTATATGTTGTATTACCTTTTGTAAAGGCTATATGGGATATTACCTTTTGTAAAGGCTATATGTTATATTACCTTTTGTAAAGACTATATGTTATATTACCTTGTGTAAAGGCTATATACGTTATATTACCTTGTATAAAGGCTATATGTTATATTACCTTGTATAAAGGCTTTATGTTATATTACCTTGTGTAAAGGCTATATGTGATATTACCTTGTGTAAAGGCTATATGTTGTATTACCTTTTGTAAAGGCTATATGGGATATTACCTTTTGTAAAGGCTATATGTTATATTACCTTTTGTAAAGACTATATGTTATATTACCTTGTGTAAAGGCTATATATCATATTACCTTGTGTAAAGGCTGTATGTTATATTACCCTGTTTAAAGGCTATATTTTATATTACCTTGTGTAAAGGCTATATGTTATATAACCTTGTGTAAAGGTTATATGCTATATTACCTTGTGTAACGGCTATATGTTGTATTACCTTTTGTAAAGGCTATATGTTATATTACCTTGTGTAAAGGATATATGTTATATTACCTTGTGTAAAGGCTATATATGTTATATTACCTTGTGTAAAGGCTATATATCATATTACCTTGTGTAAAGGCTGTATGTTATATTACCTTGTGTAAAGGCTATATGTGATATTACCTTGTGTAAAGGCTATATGATATATTACCTTGTGTAAAGGTTATATGCTATATTACCTTGTGTAACGGCTATATGTTGTATTACCTTTTGTAAAGGCTATATGTTATATTACCTTTTGTAAAGGCTATATGTTAAATATAGCCTGTACACAAGGCTATATGTTATATTACCTTGTGTGAAGGCTATATGTTATATTACCTTGTGTAAAGTCTATATGTTATATTACCTTGTGTAAAGGCTATATATCATATTACCTTGTGGAAAGGCTATATGTTATATTACCTTGTGTAAAGGATATATGCTATATTACCTTGTATAAAGGCTATATGTTATATTACCTTGTGTAAAGGCTATATGTTATATTAGCTTGTGTAAAGGCTATGTGTTATATTACCTTGTGTAAAGGATATATGTTATATTACCGTGTGTAAAGAATATATATGATATTACCTTGTGTAAAGGCTATATATTTTATTACCTTGTGTAAGGCTATATGTTATATTACCTTGTGTTAGGGCTATGTGTTATATTACCTTGTGTAAAGGCTATATATTTTATTACCTTGTGTAAAGGCTATATGCTATATTACTTTGTGTAAAGGATATATGTTATATTACCTTGTGTAAAGGCTATATGCTATATTACCTTGTATAAAGGCTATATGTTATATATCCTTGTGTAAAGGCTATATGTTATATTACCTTGTATAAAGGCTATATGTTATATGACCTTGTGTAAAGGCTATATGTTATGTAATATAACATATAGCCTTTACAAAAGGCTATATGTTATATTACCTTGTGTAAAGGCTATATGTTATATTACCTTGTGTAAAGGCTCTATGTTACCTTGTGTAAAGGATATATGTTATATTACCTTGTGTAAAGGCTATATATTATATAACCTTGTGTAAAGGCTATATGTTATATTACCTTGTGTAAAGGCTATATGTTATATTACCTTGTGTAAAGGCTATGTGTTATATTACCTTGTTTAAAGGATATATGTTATATTACCTTGTGTAAAGGCTATATGTTATATTACCTTGTGTAAAGGCTATGTGTTATGTTCCCTTGTGCAAAGGCTATATGTTATGTTACCTTGTATAAAGGCTGTATGTTATATTACCCTATGTAAAGGCTATATATTATATAACCTTGTGTAAAGGTTATATGCTATATTACCTTTTGTAAAGGCTATGTGTTATATTACCTTGTGCAAAGGCTATATGTTATATTACCTTGTGTAAAGGCTATATGTTATATTACCTTGTGTAAAGGCTATATGTTATGTATGTATGTTAAAACATGTGACACTTTAATAACTGTTTTTGAAATGACCCCTGTATTTGCTTGTCTAGGTCTCTGTCTCCTTGCTCCGTGCTAGGTCTACCCAAAACTGAGAAAGGTATAATCTGGCCTATGCAGGTATATCCTGGTAGAAGAAGCCTAGCATTCTATGTTAGGTGCGAATCTGCAATCGCCACAATGTCCAAATCGGCGTGCAACACACATGTATCACGTACGATATAGTTATCGGAGGCTACATCATGTACCTGATTCTAGTACCCTATACCCTGTACCCCGTACCCCGTACCCTGTATCCTGTACCCCGTACCATGTACCCTGTACCCTGTACCCCGTACCCTGTATCCCGTACCCTGTACCCCGTACCATGTATCCTGTACCCTGTACCCCGTACCATGTTCCCTGTATCCCGTACCCTGTATCCTGTACCCTGTATCCCGTACCCAGTACCCCGTACCCCGTACTCCGTACCCCGTACCCCGTATCCCGTACGTATACCCTGTATCCCGTAACCAGTACCCCGTACCATGTACCCTGTATCCCGTATCCTGTACCCCGTACCCTGTATCCCGTACCCTGTACCCCGTACCATGTATCCTGCACCCTGTACCCCGTACCATGTTCCCTGTATCCCGTACCCTGTACCCTGTATCCCGTACCCTGTACCCTGTATCCTGTATCCCGTACCCAGTACCCCACTCCCCGTACTCCGTACCCCGTACCCCGTACCCCGTATCCCGTACGTATACCCTGTATCCCGTACCCAGTACCCCGTACCCTGTACCCCGTATCCCGTTCCCTGTATCAGTATGTAGCAGGAGCAAGTCCTGGCTTCGCTTACCCAGGTTCATTGAGCCTGGGGTTCCAGGGTTTCCATTACAAACAACTCACATAGTGTATAACATTTAATACATTTATTACATAGAGCATATAACATACATAAACAGACGACACAAGCTATTCAGCCCCTACCCGGCTACTACTGGGACATGTACGGGAAAGGTGTAAACAAACGCACTACATGACGGTATAAACACAGCGGGCAGCTAGCAAGGCTTTCCCCGGACAGGACAGAAACACACAAACACCCACCTAGCACCACGGACCGGTCAGAAGATAATGACAGCACAACACATGACAGAGACAGAGAAAGACGGAGATACCCAGCCGAAGCTATTGGTACAGCTCCACAAATTCCCATGTGCGGGTATGTTATGTAGACCACGATAGCCAATCAGAACGGTTTTACCAGAGAGTAGGGGTCATCCAATGAAAACACCGGTTACTAAAGTATGGAAGGAAGTTAGAAAGAGTAAGAGCCCGGATAACAACACAGAGTCCCAATAGCAGCGGTAACACATACGTCGAACACCCACGGTAGATATATGCGATAACTTTCTTATACCCCTTTCATTCAGGCTTTCATCCAGACACTTCCACCAACACAATCCTTATGTATATAAGCACTCATACCCATTCGCAACCACCTGGCCAGGTTTCATAATACTCTCGACTTTCACACTCTCACAGCTCAATACATTCAATACGATGTGAATCTCGATACACATATCTGTTTTAATAGTAAGTTCCGCAATACATGTGTTTACTTTACAGATATGTAATACCTTTACGATGTCAATAGTAATTACAGTTCAAATATATATAGGGCATCTCATTTACAAACTAGTATTTAATCCGAATCGTTAGTGAATTAGAATGTTCAAATATATCCTTATTATTGTATGTCTGTCTGGTTTTACTTCACTGACCTGATTGAAAGTTCACCTTTGTAAAATAGCCATTTCTAAAATTAATTCGTTTAATATGACGACTAGAACGTTTTACTGGGCAGAGGAATATCTGAAGATTGACACTAAATTTATTATTTGTTCAGTCTGTAAAAATGACCTTTGTCAGGACTGTTTCATAAACTTGTGAGTTCCAGATAATTTCGATTTAACATGTAAGTTCTTTATTTGAAAATCACTTTACTTAAAAATTCCCCTAAAGCAACCCGAACATAAATTAGACGTGATTGTGGTTAATCCGGCAATACCTATAGAGACTGACAGTTTTCAGTTTTACGCTGATCTATTGTTACAATTAGTCCTCCCCAAGGCAACAGATTGAGACTTATCAATTGTGTAAGCCATGCGTTACATATGTATGGTGTTTTCGACGGTAACGAGGGCTACTTTGCTGATTGCTTCTCACCTAGCCAACATTTGAAATATACCCAGTGTCACCTGGCCAACATTTCAATCTTAACAAACTGAGTGAACCTCAGTTATAGTCTGTTTCAGATATACTAAACTCTATTATAATATTTCTATGTATACAGGTACAGGTAGATTTTAGGTAGGTAATACTGCTCACACTATTAAGCCTGTTTATCATGAATTTGAAAATATATCAGTCATTTTACCATGGCCAATGCACAAGTACAGGTTGACTTTTTAGAGAATAGTAGAGGTGGCTAGTACCTACTACATGCTGGCTACAAATTTTCTATCCGGACAAGACGGGATAACCGTGTTCATTGGAGATGTGTTTTACGGCAGTGTCAAGCAACATTTACAACCCTGGATAACATTCCAGTTGTATTTGGGCACCAACATCACAACCATCCTCTTAGTACTATTTCGCTAGCAGCTGACTCATTTATTGTAAATGTTAAAAAGCGTTGTCGAGATGAAGTCAATGCTATCCCGGCAATATTTGAAGAGGAACTTGGCAATCTCCGTGACAGAGACTATGATGATGATGTTGAGGACATGATAAAAAAATACCAACATTTGAAAGTTGCAAGTCCGCATTATACAGGAGTAGAGCTAAAGTCTAAACAGATCGCAGCCTCTATAATAATTATATGGTTCAAATTCTTCTAATTTCAGAAATGTATTGCATGTATGTTTTCCATTCGGTAAAGGTAAGAAGAGCTGCTGTCCTACCCATGGTTCCGACCCGACAATTGGAGGACGTTTGGTTCAATGCTCTTGATGACAATGAGGACAACAGCCCAGAGGTTATCCGTTTCAGGGACTATGTCACAGAAACGTGGGTGGAAGGACAGCAGCTGGATCTGTGGAACCACTATGAAAACACCGGGCATCGTACAACTAACCACGTAGAAGTATGGCACAGTAAAGTAAACAGGATGTGCAAGCATGCACGCCCGAACATTTATGCGATTGTGAAGTTGCTCCAGAAATTACAGGCTGCTGAAGAAGTTAGGATGATTCAACTGTGTGCTGGAGGAAAATCACCACCAAGAAAGAAGAAGTATCGACGTTTGGATGAGCGCCTTACTCAGCTCAAGGACAGGTTCCAGAACGGACATATTCATGTGAACACGTATGCTGATTCAGCATCCCACTTACTCCATTTAGACTGAGATAGTGCATGATACGGTCAACACGTGCATGTTGATTCAGCATCTCAAAAACTGTTTAGCTCAGGTCTTCAAAATTGACCCAAACTTTTAGTGCTTTATATATGTCATATTTATATGTATTAATTGTCTTTTAGAGGTACATGTAATTATTAAGCCAAAATAATTCTTGAAATATGTATTTTTTATGTGCAATAGGTTTTTGACTTTTTACAGATGTATATCTCTTTGGACTGGTGTGCTGTTTATATAAGAATATGTTTTAGTGCCAAATATTGCTTTTAAATACTTTAATATCTGTACTTAAACTTGTTATACATTTGTAGGTAATGTGATATTTGTAAAACTAAGCACCTAATATTTTAATATTTTTCTGTTGTAATAGGTATAATACAATTACTTTGTTATATTTTTATATATGTTAGTGCTATATAAAGAATGCATGTACTGAGTATGTATTTCATAGTATTTATGTTTGAATGTTTGGTAAATAAATAAATAATCAGTTACATATTATATAGTCTCAAGTTATCTACTTTTATGAGTCTGACTATAGCGCCTGGCCAATATGAAAATCTTACCTGTAGGTAACAAAAATACCAAATGTTGGCTAGGTGAGAAGACACCATTTTGCTAAGCGCGTATATGACCCCCACAGTTTATAGATTTTTTATATGAATAGAGCAATGATTAAGTGATGTAGATAGTTATCAGTAGACTGTTCAGCCGTGTCTCGATAGGATCTGTGTCGTTAAACCCGTCAACGGGCACATTTATACGATGTGTACGGTTCCCACATTTCATTTGGTTTTGGTTTTAAATGGAAAACACAGCAGAAACCAGTTTCTCTACAGAAGTGTAACAAAACCAAAACAAAATGTGTAAAATTTCTTTTATTCCTATATTTTCGAATAAGTGAATACATTCACAATTTAAATGTGATTTCTGATATTTTAGCTTTAGATTTTTAATAAAATGCATATACAAAAGTGTTTAGTAACTTTATCACTACAATAACAACAACTAGAGTCTTAATAAAATTACTGTTTAACTTCAATACATGTAATGGTATTATCATATCAAAAAAAAATATCAATTTAGAAAGCCACTAATAACTTATGTAATGGTATTACACTAAAAAAGTTATCAATGTAGAAAGTTACTAATAGCACATGTAAAATTTAGAGAAGGTTTACAGTTAAAGGAAGATAACATTTGTTAGAATTAAAAGTGTATTGCTACTAATATTTACAACCTGATACATGATGCAAAAGTTTTACTGAGTTTTATGAAAATACTGTTTAACTTTAAAATGGAATTTTCTCATTAAAAAAAAGTCATCAATTTAGGAATGTTTATTATCAAGGAAAGAATTGAGGTAGGTTTGAAAATACATGAAATGGGTTTCTTTTGTCAAAAAACCTGAAAAGAACCTGAACACCTACTATCATAAAAATATATTGAGTATTATCAAAAAACAAACTATCATTGTCACATAACATTTTTATCACAACCTAATCATTAGCTTGCATATATCAATCTATTTAACAAAACGAACTACACAACAATTGTCTTTCATTGGTACATGATATCATTTAAAAAAAATAGGAATTATTCAAAACCTAAACATTTATCTATATTTATGCAAAACTAACAAATATTGACACATGATGTAAAAGTTTTACTGAGCTTTATAAAAATACTGTTTAACATTTAAATGGAATTTTCACATTAAAAAAAAGTCATCAATTAAGGAATGTTTATTATCAAGGAAAGTATTGAGGTAGGTTTTAAAATACATGAAATGTATTTCTTTTGTCAAAAAACCTGAACAGAACCTGAATGATAACAGATATATTGAGTATTATTAACTAACATTGGTACATGTAAAAGGTAAATACTCTACATATATACATTTACAAACAGATATTGTCATGTGGCAGGAAAAGTTACACTAAGTTTTATATAAAAAGTCATGGATTTACAATAACACTTGTAAAATGTATGGAATGACAGTTTTGGAATAACATTTTGATTATATTGAAGCACATTCCTGAGTAAATTAAAATAATAATCTCAAATGGAGTAAAACTGGAATAGGTTTTTGTTAGAAAACTGAATATAATTGACTGGGGGTGATTTTGCAAATACTTACACATATAAAGAATCATGAAACATTCATATAAACTAGTAAAATAAAACATTTTTGAGTATTGAGGGTAGATTTTAAAAATATCAGTAATTTTATGTGTATATTATAAAGCTTTTTCCAAAACCCAAGCAATTGTACATCAAACCATTTCTATTCGTTTTTTGTTTTGCTGGTACTGTCTTTAAATTGAAAGATATCATCAATTCTTTCAATGCATTCTAGGGCCTCCTGAGAAAAATATTACTGATCTATTTATCAGTAATATTTTTCTCAGCAATGATTCTGACTCCGACCGCAGTGATCTTGACGGCTGATACAGGGTAACAAGCTCCTGTAGGTACTGTGGAGCTGTTCCATTCAGTGCCTTGTATGTGTACAACAAAATTTTGTACTGCGACCTGTATCGAACAGGTAACCAGTGCAATGAATATAGTACAGGTGTGATGTGCTCTCTTGCGAGTACGAGTAACCAACAGTGCTGCAGTGTTCTGGACCCTCTGCAGACGACAAGTTAGTTTGTCAGATATACCACAGAGCAGGGCGTTACTTTATTCAAACCGAGAGGTAACAAGTGAATGCACTAAAATATTGCATGCATCTGCACTATTAACTGCCGGATACAGCCGATGTTCCTGAAATGGTACATTTTTGTAGGAACAGGATTTAGCAATAGCGTTCACTTGTTTCTCTATGTTCAGTAAACTATCAAAGTATACCCTAGGTTTTTAATAGCTGGGACAGTCTCAATAGTTATGGCACCGACTTTGAGCTGGAGAGCCATTGCTTGCTGACACTTTGGGGAAAAGACGATTAGTTCCGTCTTTCCTGGTTAAGCCTTAGCATGTTGGCGTTCATCCAGGTACTGATATCTTTCAGTCAAGCTTCCAGATTTTCTGTTATTGTATCCCAACTGCCCTGTGGTTTGATTACCACGTACATTTGTGTGTCATCAGCATAGCAATGATAGCGAAGGCTATGGCGACGACAAATCTCTTCGATCGGATTTGAGTACAGACAATATTTTCGTGGTCCTAACACCGACCCTTGAGGAGCCCCTAAGTCTAGTACTTTGTCCTGTGAGGTAGTAGATCAGATGGCAACACACTGTCGTCGTTCACTCAGATAAGACTGTATAGTGCGATATCAGTCACTCCATAAGAGTACTCCGGACGTTTATAAAGTATGCCATGGTCGATGAAATCAAATGCAGCTGACAAATCCAGCAGGACAAGCACCGCTCTGCACTTGTTTTCCAATGCAGAAGCTATGTCATTATGTTCAGTTGTATTTGGAAACAAAGACCACCAAAATATAAAAGATAAAACTAGATAAAGAATACAAACCAAACGCTAAATAAAAGTGGGACACATTTTATGAAAATGAAATATTCTATTGGGAAAGCATATTGAAAATAGTAAACATACCAATTGCTAACGGAAAATGTAGTGATTTCCAATGGGGATGCCTGCATAACATGGTGTCCACTAATTTTAATGTGATGGAGATGGGATTTTCAGATGAAAAATATAACTTCTGACATGCCGACATCGAGACACAACATTTTTGTTTTATAGATGTAACTTCACCAAAGGTATACACAAAGGTATACACAAAGCTACAGACCCGTACACGTTCGCTGTTCCACCTTGGATGCAAACGGTACGGACGTGCTACGCAAATGGTACGGAAATGGTACGCAAGTGCTACGCAAACGGTACGGAAATGGTACGCAAGTGCTCCGCAAACGGTACGGAAGTGTTACGCAAACGGTACGGAAGTGCTACGGATGACGCTTACAAACGGTGATTCGTTTGTGGTGACAAGAACGGGTTCACATAAAAAGCGGAAGCATATAACCTATCTAAAACGAAACGAACATACCCACAATGTATAGGAAGAAATGTCAGTACACTGTAGGCTACGAGAATCGAGGCACATAAGAATTATTTAAATTTTGCCATTTCGTTTGCATAATGGATGAGTGTGAAACAAACAGAAATGTCTCGTCATTTATAAAGATAAAGGTCGATCAAATATTGGTACATGTAATATATCCATCACAAAGACCTGACGTACGCTAACAGATCAACGCGACACACAGATAATAATAAGTTATGGTCAGAAGTATTTCCACCTGCTTACCGAATACACGACTAATTGATATTGACAGTAAGTAAACTTGTTACGGTTTTTTTAACGAGAAACGTAATAATTAATAAGCCTAATAATAATTAAAAATGATATAATTTCAGACTCCTGTGTTAAGGATCCAGTACCTCTATTTCTATGTTTTATATCGTCTTTAATACTTCCATACACTTTTAGATTTTTCGTAGGATTTGGAGACCGATAATGTGCTTAATTATTAGTACATGCAAATACATGCATCGGAGATTTGAAATGTATACATGTTATACCATGTCTATTAATTAAATTTCATTCACAGATAAACACAGTTGTTTGTTATACATCTTTTATTTTATTATGAAAATCAGGGATGTGTAGTGGTCCACTGCACATCCCTGATTGTACGTGTATATTGTTACGGGAGTTATATATATTGTTTCAGTTTGATAGGAGTAGGGTATATTTACCAGTGTCACCTCCACACATTTTGTGGAGGGAGGTGGAGGGTGACTTTGACCTAGATATGCATNTATATATATTGTTTCAGTTTGATAGGAGTAGGGTATATTTACCAGTGTCACCTCCACAAAAATGTGTGGAGATGACACCGGTAACGTCACAAGAATGTGTGGAGGTAACCTTAACCTTAGAGTCACCTTGACTTAGGTCAGAGGTGACATATCTATCTAGCGTCACAGGAATATCTAACGTCCCTCGCCTCAGTAGGATATACACAATAGTGTGGAGGGTTGGTCTTTTGTTTATAGTTAGAAATAGCCT